CTCACGAAACTTAATCTGTGCCATATGATAAAATATGAATCAAGAAAAAAAAAAGAGAAAGTACAAAATATACCACTCCAGCAGAGTAGGTAACATAATTTAAAAAAGCAACTTGCAGAACCGAAAAATTGCACACAAACCATGAACTTTAGGCTTCATTATAGTGTACCAAATGAATGTATGCACATCAAAATTGGAAGAAAAAAAATGATGATTACTTCCTATGATGAATAACCTTATAAAAAAGAAAAAAATTGCTGCTCAGTGATAAGTTTATTTCAGACAACACATATATAGCACTTGCTTAGATCAGTAAAGCCAACACGAGTGCAAAATACCATGCACAACATTCAATCACTAAGACTATGTATTAGCACCAATAATGTAACTCATTCCAAATCATGCACATTATCCCAAAAACCACTCATAATGGAGGAAAAATCTACAATTATTGTGGCAGTAAGCTTCTTGGCACCCTGTGATAGTTCAACAGCTAGCATGAGTTAAACAAAAACACAGCTTTAAAAGGCCTCAGAATAAGAAGCATTAAATAGCATTTACATTATTTTTAAAGTAAATGTGAAATTGTTGCCTGGTACAGTTGACACCTTTGCTCTCTTTCTAAGGTTCTAATGAGGAATTGGTTGCAGTATATTAATTCTCATTGATATGTCACTCATTAAAATTTCCTTGTTGTGAACTAATTGCAGAAAATACGGAAAATCCTTCACTAACTTGTGAAGAAATGAACATAGTTTGCCAACACTTTCAAAATCAAATAGCAGTACAATTTTTCCTTTTATACTACTAGAGGAACAGCATTGACTCACCACTTCATCCCCATCATGAGTGAATTCCAAAAAAGATCCAACCACCCTGACAGAACAGGCATAGTCCTCAATAAACAAAAATAGGATCCTAAAACAATTGCTTTGTTGTACAGAGAAAATCAGTCCAAGAATGACCATTGACTCACTTGAGCGCAGCAACTCTAACACGGTTGCTAGTCTCATCCTGCAAGCACTTGAGTAGAAGAGCTTGCAGATCTGCAAAATACGGCCGAAAAGCATTCCCAATTGTTTCAGTCAAAGAGCTGAAGAGAATTAATGCCACCTTACATCCCGAAAGCAAGAAACAACACTTGGTTAGATTCTAAGTGTATCAATCAGAAATAAAACAGCAACATAATCATCTCATCTCTAAGTCGTTCATTCTCAAATTCCACTGCGAATAACAAGATCGCTATAGAATAAGTAAGGATTATATATGTTTTTAGTCCTTGAACTTTTGTCGACCTTTGTTTTTGTCCTGAAGAAAACTTTTACTAATTTTAGTCACTAAGCTTTTGTCTATTTTCACTATTAGTCCTTGAACTATTTCTCCTATTAACATTTTGGTACCCCTGATGACATCAAATTTTTTGTTCATGGCGAAAAATTGTAGGAACTAAAACCAAATAAAATTTGTTAAAATAGACTAAAAATAAAAGTGGAGAAAAGTTTAGGGACTAATAAGTAATAATGAAGCATAGTTTAAGATGATGAAGTTACCTCTCGATGATCTTCCTGCGCACTCTGACTACATTGGAAGAGAAATGACAACAAATTCGGCCACTCGCCGGAGGGAACAGCGTACTTCGCGACAATGCTGACAACGTTGGCACTAGCTTTCCGAACAGGGGGACTGCAGAGACGCAATTGAATGAGATAACGAATTTGAAATTGAAGAGGTTAGGTTTGAATAGAAAGGTAATGAAACCTGTGCTCCATGGTGATGGTCTCAATGAGGGACTGCTTAACAAGCTGTTTGAGTTGGGGAGAGAGCTTGGCCTAGTGGCCGGTGATCTTTTTGCGGAGGAGGATGGCGGCGAGCTGGCGGACGTTGGGGGTTTTGGCAGTGCGCATGTGCTGGACGAGGGCGGGAACCACCTGGGGGTCCTTGGCGAGGCGCTTAATTTGGTCCTCTGCCTGGCGGCGGGCGTCATTGTCGGGCATCAGAAACTGAATCAGCAAAAGCTCAAGAGACTGCGCCATCGCTCTGCCTCCACCAAAGGTTTTCCCCTTTTGCTTTGCTTGCTATTCACTCACTCTCACACTTTCAGTTCCCAAGCTTTTATAGCGTCGTCGCAGCTTAACACACAACAATTCAGGGTTTTGGTTTTGGTTGCTACTAATGTTACTGTTGGTATGATACTAATATTTTTACATCAAATAAATATTTATTTCGGCTTCTCACATTTCAATTTTTATTCTCTCTTTCATTTTCCGTAAGCAATTTTAATATTTAACAAGTATTTTTACCTACTAATGGCTGTGGGTAGAACAAAGAGAAAAGACGATGGCTGCAGGTGGGAGACTTAACGGTGCCGTCGTTGAGAGTTGCGGGGGACGACCACGATGATGGCTGTGGGTTAATGGTTAATGGTTGACGACACTACAATAAATGTTACATATAGTGACATACAAAAAGTGTCACTATAAGTATAATATATGTAAGTATATATCTATTTGACATATAGCTACACACAATTTTAATGTTGATTTGAATGAGATTTAACAACATATTTTGAGTCTCACTATAGCTTATACCTACATTTTTTAACAATATACCAACATATATTATATTTATTGTGTAGGTAAAAGTAGTTTTTAGTGACACTTATTATATCACTATAGAATGTGTGTCACTATACGGCAATTTTCTTGTAGTGCGATGACGGCTGTGGGATGACCACGACGAGGGTTGTGGGTGGGAGACTGAAGGGCGCGCATGAACTGGGAGAGAAAAGGCCCGCGCTAATTTTGGGTCTCCATTTAAGTCAGTTTTACACAAAAACCATCGTAGATCATTTATCATCTAAGTCGATTTTACAACAAACCGGCGTAGATATGTTCGTGTAAGCTATTTTACTATGGTTATTATCTAAACCGTCGTAGATTATGTTATTTTTATTTACAAAATTGCCACTGCGTCTTATTCTACATCAGTTTTTAATAATCCGTCTTAGATTGAGCGACTTAGATTAATCATTTTGTACTAGTGAAAATATTATAAGGAACCAAATTAGGTATTTAGCCTGTAATGTAGTTAGTAGACTGGAACGGGGCGTTCCTAGATTGGAACGGGCCGTTCCAAACTACTAAAACAAGGGTGATTTAGTAGCCTAGAACGGGCCGTTCCTAAACTGAAACGGGCTGTTCCAAACTACTAAATAAGCCTATAAATCTTGGACTGGAATGGGCCGTTCCAAAGTGGTCATTATGAGTTAAATTCAACTCAAGAATGGGTCGTTCCGGGTTTAGAACGGGCCATTCTAGACATGCCAGAACGGGCTGTTCCAATTTCAGAACGGGTCGTTCTGCATGTGAATTTTACACATGATGAAGGAGCCTAGAACGGGCCATTTTGGATTTGGAACGGGCCGTTCTGGCTAGTTCAGACTTCTATAAATAGAGGGTGTGGGCAGTTGAGGGAAATGGAGGGTTTTGAGAGAAGTTCTAGAGAGAAGGACTCTGGACTAGAAAGCTATTTTTGGAGAGTTGAAGTTCAAGAGTCAAGTTTTGAAGGATATTTATTATTCTTCTTCTTCTTCCTTTCAGATTCTTGGCTTTTAGAGCCAATCTTCAGGTAAAGGAAGCTAGATTGTAAAGTTGTTGGACTGCGATGATCATACGTTGTATAGGAGCAGGGCAGGGATAGACTAGAGATAGCTGCTAGAGGCCACAGGAGGTGCCTGGAGGTGAATTTTTTTTGCAGGCTACCTTATAGTAGCATATTTTGTTGTATATAACTGGTTGATATTGGTTGCTTGATTAGCAACTTGTATTGTAAATATTTTATTATACTATTTTAGTATATATATTTCAGTAGTGTGTAGTATTGTTTGTAGTATGACGGTCATGGCGGGTCGTTACACGTATATATTTCAATAGTGTGTAGTATTGTTCGTAGCATGACGGTCCTGACAGATCGTTACATAGCCCCCAAAAATTATGGTGTCCCTTGAAATTTGAAACGCCCTCGTCGTCAAATGTTATTTACGACTTGCACACGTGGCAAGCACAATTACTTCAATACCATAAAGAAACAAACCTCTTTCACTCTTACAAGTTTAAAACTCGGGGATTAATGTACTGATCGAAACTGCATTAGCTTGATCATGAATGTCACCAAGGCAATATGCCAATATGAGCTCGGCAATGTAAACCGCCAACGACACCGGTATAATATTGATCAAAAGACTTGGTCAAAGGGATAGTTCGGTTACATAGATAATGCCAAAGTTTGACCCTTCATGAAAAAATAAAAAGACTAATTTTAAAAGGAAAAATACTTCATCCTTCGAATATTTATTCTGAAACTTGATTGAATTTGTTCCAGTATGTCTTAAAAAGGCTCACATCGCTTAGGAGTCAAGACTAAGGGTAGTTTATAAATACCCTCTCTCCTTAACCTACCGAGATGTCTTTTAAATGACAAAATCGTAACAGCCCAACAAGTGCCAAAACGGACAATACCTCGGATGTAGTGACTCTAACGATGCTAGAAGTTGCCTCTTAGCATTGACTGGGGGCTTGTTCCGGTATGCTTAAAAATTCCACATCGCTTATAAAGGACAAAATCATAACGGTCCAACGAATGCCAAAACGGACAATACCTCAGATGCAGTGATCCTAACCTTAGCAACGACTGAGGGACTTGTTCCGCTATGCCTAAAAATTCCACACCGCTTATAAAGGACAAAACCGTGACAGTCTAACAAATGTTAAAACGGACAATACCTCAGATGCGGTGATCCTAACGATAAAAACGGACTTACAGTAGGAACAAAATTAATAAAAAACTGATTTAAATAATAAAATATTAAATAAAATAATTAATTTATAATAAATTTATTTAAAAATATCAATATTTTAATTATTGGGACATTGATCGGAAGTTTCGTTTTGGAATATATAGCAATACTCTTTTGAAAAACGTTGTGTGGAGATAATCGGTGGTACTTTTGTGCTGTCGAGTCGGCGTGTACTGCTTATGTGATTTAAAATTACATAATAAAAATACATCTAGATTTTAAATGATATTTCTACAGCAAGTCGTGATCGTGAATCATAAATTTCATTCAAGCCTGTTGGGGGAAACAAAACAATATCAACAGAATGATCTCTTTCGCAGTCTTCGTTTTCCTCACACTCTTGTTCACCTTGTCACTGATAAAACACATGAGAAAGGGAGGTGCAGAGAAGAAAGTACCCCCAGGGCCAACGAAACTACCCTTCATCGGCAACCTCCACAACCTTGGAAAGTTGCCACATCGATCCCTTCAACGCCTTTCACGCCACCACGGACCCCTCATGTTCTTGCAGTTAGGTTCAATACCCACCTTGGTAGTCTCCTCTGCCGAGATGGCTAAAGAGATTTTCAAAAACCATGACCCCGTTTTCTCCGGCAGGCCTCAGTTACGCGCTGCCAACCGCTTGGGATACGGTTCAGCCGTGAGTTTCTCTCCTTACGGCGAGTACTGGAGAGAGATGAGGAGGATCATGATCTCGGAGCTGTTGAGTCCGAGGAGGGTTCAATCGTTTGAAGCTGTGAGATTGGAAGAGGTGAAGCTTCTGCTTCGCTCCATAGCTCTTTCTTCTCATCCTGTGGACTTGAGTGAGTTCACCCTTTCGCTCACTAACAACGTTGTTTGCCGGATTGCTCTCGGGAAAAGGGACAGGTTCGGAGTAGAAAATAACACGCTTAGTGAGATGCTTAAGGAAACGCAGGAGATGTTGGGAGGGTTCTTTCTGGTTGACTTTTTCCCTCGGTTGCGGTGGCTCGGCAAGTTCTGTGCCATTGAAAATAGGCTTGAGAGAAATTTCAGAGAAATGGATAAGTTTTATGAGCAGGTCATTAAGGAGCATGTTGATAAACATGAGAGGGATGAAGCTGAGCATGAGCATGAAGATGTTGTCGATGTACTTCTTCGAGTTCAGAGGGATCCAAATCAACCAATCGCCATCACTGATGACCAAATCAAGGGTGTACTAGTGGTACGTTTATAGTATAATATAGAAGCGAGTGACGCATGAACACCAAGCATCTAAATTAAATATCTCATTCACACGTTAGTTTTTGGGTTTTTATTTATTTGTTTATTTATTTATTAAGATTCGAACTTTTTATACTTTATCAATATTACTTCGATTTCTATTAGTATGTTGAGCTTAATATTTTTTTTTTGAGTTTAATCTTATATATACATATATATATATATATTGTATATTAATTTTTAGTTAAGTTAGTAGATATTCATGTGGATATCATAATATAAAAAAATATTATACATTAATTAAGAATCTTTTTCAACTATTCAATCTTAATATAAATCCTATTCTCTCTCTTTTTTTCTTCTTCAAATTATATTACTTACAAGATTTGAATTTATTACCATATATATATTATTAGTCTAATGATTTTTTGAATTTAATAGTATGTATATATTCTATATTGAGAATTTTTTTAATAATCTTCATCTAGTTATAAGGATTGTCATGAAACATGAGAGATTGATCTCATGCTCTCAAATTCGATTTTTATCTTTGTTAATACTGTTTGATCAATTATATTTATATATCTTATTCTCTCTTTTTTTACAATTATTATAAATTTTTTATTATTTTTATTTTTTTATCTCTTTATTTTCCTGGAATATGTAGTGTTCACTAATCGTTTCTGGATTATATATTAAGTAGTACTATTCTCTCCTAGTCGTCGTAAGTATATGTTTAATAAAAACATACTTGGTAAAATATGGAGGAATTTTTAAGTTATTTAACTAAAGTACGTTTGTTTGAATTAACATTCTAATCGAATGGTCTAATAGACGTACACAAATTAACTTTTGTTTTCTCTTTCCATCCAATAAGAAATGATTAAAAAACAGAGAGAACATGAATACGGAACAATTCAAAGTACTCACATGATTTTCAGGTTGATTAGTCAATACCATCATTTTCTTGTCTGACTAATTAATAATAGTTATGGTCATATACAAATTCCGTCGATGGCTTTCGGGCCTTGTTTATTCACACTTAACTCTTCCTTTATCTAATTGGATTTAATTTTGTATGTAGGACATCTTTGTAGCGGGAACCGACACTGCTGCGGCGACAATGATATGGACAATGAGTGAGTTGATTAGGAACCCAAATGCAATGAAAAGAGCACAAGAAGAAATAAGACAAGTTTTGAAGGGAAAAGAGATGGTAGAAGAGGTTGACCTCCCGAGACTCTTGTACTTCAAATCAGTTGTGAAGGAGGCACTAAGACTCCATCCACCAGCGCCATTACTCGTGCCAAGAGAGACCACAGAGGCTTGCACGATCCAAGGGTTCGAAATCCCAGCCAAAACGAGGGTCCTTGTGAATGCAAAGTCAATAGCAATGGACCCCACTTGTTGGGAGAATCCAAATGAGTTCTTGCCAGAGAGGTTCTTGGATAGTCCAATTGACTTCAGAGGACAACACTTTGAGATGTTGCCATTTGGGGTTGGCCGAAGAGGCTGTCCCGGAATGAACTTTGCTATGCCACTTGTTGAGTTGGTTCTTGCAAATCTTCTCTATCGTTTTCACTGGGAGCTGCCTCTTGGGCTTGGAATTCAAGACTTGAATATGGAAGAAGCGATTGGCATAACTATGCATAAGAGAGATCATCTTTGGCTCAAAGCCACCCCTTTCCTCCAGTAGTGCTTTTCTTCTTTTTCTTCAATGTTCATTTTTAAAAATTGGGCATTTTATGTTATATTTTAAGAAATTAATAAATACAAAATTGTTATTGAAAATTATGCATCAGAGCTATTGAAATTAATATATTAAAAAGGTATAAGAGGCAACTTAAACCCATATACAGAGACTGCTAACTATAATTCACCCTATGCTGTTACTCCAAACAAAAGATTCATCCCCCACAATTTTCTATTAATAATTTATAACTTTAAAATTATTATTTTTCAATTTCAAATAAATTGGAGAAACAATTTACGGCAAAAGTGACATGTGAAAAATTTATCCACATGGCATGAAATAATTGATCATAGGTGGCAATATACCGGTACATCTTTGAATGTACACGTATTATAGAAAACACCTTTCTATATAGCCTCCCATACTACAAATTAAATGTAACCTCTGTATGTTGTGTTCCATACATGACAGATTGTAAATATAGAGCCCGCAGAAGTTGAAGTCCACACCAAAACAAAATCCAAAAGGATTTGGTCCCCCCGACATAGTGTACCCTATGTCCCACAGATTTCGACATGATACAGCAACACAACATAGGGATAAAGTAAAATAAAAAAAATTATAAAATACATGAATATGACACACACATATATATATATATATATATATATATATATAATATGAATAATATGAAGAAAAAAAATTATATATTGACATAAAAGTAATTTATTAAATTTCAAAAATAAATTATTAAGAGATATTATAGTCCATAACAACAAAACTGACAAAAATTATCACAATAGAGTCAAAAAAAGAAATAGTGTGAGAAATCTTTATTGTTGGTCATCATCATTGAAAAACATGACTTGTTTATGTTTTTATCAATTTTTTTAAAATCTCGAATCCTCCCTTTCTTGTCTATGTTTTTATGGAATTTCTTTTTTTATTTTTATTTTTATTTATAAAAGTATCATATTCGCGCTTCATAGAGTTGGGCCACATACATTAGAGAGTTGGGTCACACGCATTGGGGCGTTGGGTTGTGCTTGTGTCTTTGTGTCTGTTTTGTTCATGTTCGGGACTAAATGTGTTCTTATCTAATACATATTCGATTTGTGTCGACGTAGTCTGCCATTGCGTTCACAACATGTCTGCTTGTATACAATGTGTTAGTGCATAATAGAGTGTACTTTATGGCCGAGTCCTTTAACCCCCTAAGCATCAATAACTAGTCTATTGGTTGTATACATCAAGATTAAAACATCTACAAACTCACAAGTGGCTAGAATCATACTATCAACAACATAGTTATCTGCTTGTTTAGTCCATTATCTCCATTATCAAAACCACTTTATTAGAGCCACTAGCAGGCCTTTATGTTCTCGCATATAAAATGTATTGATCTCCAAAAAATCAAGCAAGTTATTTTAATTACCACATTATAATTGCTTCCATCTATACATCATCATTAGAATGGATAACGTAGTAAGTGACCCCTAAATGAATCTATGATAGATTGTTATATCATTTTAAATATAGGTCAGTTTTATCTTAAAATAAAATTGTCTTATAAAGTGAAGATTGTTTCATTCACATACTCTATTTTAACCTTATATCGAGTTGAGTTTTTCTCATCATTTATAATCACATTACTCCATTTAACTTTTTCAATAACATTTGTCTACTTACATCTATTAAAATGTTACTATAAATTAAGCTAATAGGTTATTACAATATTTTTTTAAAGAAAATTTTATTATAGATAGAATAACATTTTTTATTTTAATATTATTTTTTTCTAATTATTTCTCAAAATTAAAGTTTCACATCATCCATTGCAAAGCTCTAACCCACCAGAAATATGCATCACCATTCAGCATGAAGATAGCAAAGTTAACCTTCAAAGCCATAGGAAACTCTATGGCCTTGAAAATTTTCTCCACCTCATCACTCAACCTAATCATAACTGCAACAAGGTCATATACCCCTTTAAATGTGGGTGGATGATGATGCTAAAACCTCTCCAACTAACTAAGTTCAACACCAACTTATCAACTCTTATTGCTTATGCTAATGCATGAAGAGCATCGGTGACAACATGATCGTTTCTATCGGTCATAATATTGATATAAAAAACAAATAGATTAAACAATACTTCAAGTAACATACAATATAACATATTATCAAAGTACACACAAAATGCGTAGTACGACACATAAAACACATGTCTGAATTAAATCAACCAATGTCTCATACCACTAAATATGATACCCTCTACCCCCCATGTTATTATAACTTATAAATTAATAGATATAAAACAAACAATAGAAATAATATTACTAAATAAAACTAAGTTCATAAGTGGAAGCACCCCTCCCAAAGAGATGGAAGAACTTGGGATTGGACAAGTGGGATCTTTGATCTTGATGATCATGTTAACTTGTACATCTCTTAAGTTAGCATGCTCTTTGACCAAAGTTCTCTTAATAATTTATAATTTTCATATTTGAAATAAATAATGTAGTTGTTGATGTCTTAAACTAAATCGTATATTATTCATTGATCAACTTTTTACTTTGACAACTAAAAATAATATTTATCTTTTAGTAAATATATTTTTATTTTTAAATTATTCTTTAATAAATAATAATTTAAATAGCTTAAATGCTTAATTAGTTGAATTTTGTTGGATTATTTTCTTAGCTTAAAAACCCTCACGTTTTTCTATAATCTTTTAAGAACTTATACACTAATAATGTTTATCGAAATGCAAAAAAATTAATTTATAAACACGTGTATATTAAACATGCGTGAAAATGAGAATGAGCCATGCAAATACATGATATGTTAATAATTATTCATTATGAACATGTTTTATTGGATTCCTTTTGTACCCCACCCTTTCAGCATCTATAATTCTATATTAATAATAAAGAGGATATGTTCAGTTGACGTACACTTTTATCTTCCTATTTTATTTTTAATAGTTACACTTAATCATTAACTATACAAGTTATCAAGAGAGATTTGTTATTACCCCTTCTATTTTGTTTGACATTTAAGGTTTTGAATCAAGACCTAAAAAAAATATAATTAATATGCTTAATTTTATAAAAAGATACGTACCTTCCTAATATATCTTTAAGCCTTTTGGATTACCATCAATAAAATAAACATAATTAAAAAAATGCATTAATAATAATTAAAGATATAATTAAAAAATTAATATTACATTGATATTATAAAATAACAATTAAATTAAAATAAATTAGAATTACCAAAATGTCAAACAAAATAAATATCCTTTTTTCAATTGAGACAATAGATATTTTATTTTTCCTCACTAGTACTAATAAAGTAATAATAAAGGAAATAACTTTGTTTGGTATCCACGATTTTTTCTTATATATTTTATCTTTGAATATTCATTCATACATTTATGTACATGACTATAGATTAAAACAAATTAAAAAATTACACATTAACACAAACTATTACAAGAAAAAATATTTTCTTTATTTTAATGGAAATATATAAATATTTTTTTACTTATATTTAATATTATCTTTGTTCTTATATATAAGATTTAATTATTTAAATTATTAAGATTAAGAAAAGTAGTTAATTTAGTTGATAATAATAAATTTGTCCTATTTATAT